CCAGGGCATAATTTCCCTTTTAATATGACACACACTTTCCTTAATTTTCATGTGTGTTAGTCTACATTGTGATATTCTATATATATTCAAGAGGGAGCTAAAGGATTAGGTTGTGCAGTATGAAAAAAAGAGTAATGGAAGTTTCTACATGGTCTCTGTCTTTATTCTGCCCTCCTTCATCCCTCAATAATTTCTGAAGACTCTTCTTTGCACAGTGAAGGCAAAGTAGTCCATCAGGATATAAGTGGCAGGAGGTGAAAAGTGAAATAGACTGATACACCTCTGTAGGTTATATATTCCATCTTTGATTAAGTGTAACACTGAGCAACTTAATCTAAGCATACCTATATGGATTATCTACTTTGACCTTTACAACATACCTGATAGCTATTATATTCATCTTACTGATGGTAAAACAGTATTAGAAAGATCCACTACTATAGTTGCAGAATACAATGAAATGTTCAAATGTCTTGGGTCTTAGTTTCATGAACTTTCTAGAGTATCTTGCTGCCTCCCTATTCAGAGGGCAAGGTAACTAGATGGCTATATTGACAGGAAAGAAAGTTAGCAGAGTCTGATTGTGAAAAGCAAGGGCTTCTAGTTCCAGCCAAGATAAAGATGTAGGTAGAAATCCTTCGCTTCCTCATACAACAAAAAGGTTAACAACCAATCTAAAAACAGTATACAGCCAGAAGTGCCAGAAAATCAAACTGCATGAAACTCCGACAACCAAGGAATTAAAGAAACAGTCAACCAGACCAACCAGACAGAGAGAAACCACGCAAGGTGGTGGACCCTGTGGGCGGGGCTTCCTGAAAGGACCTGCAACAAGGTGGGGGCTGGCAGAACAGGAAACTGTGACTCAGAGCTGACTGTGGACTACAGCGGGGAGTTGCCACAGTGGGAGAAACTCCCAGCCTCATACAAGAATGCATTGGAAAGTAAAGCTAGAGCCAAGCAGGCAGGGTGCATTGTTCCCTCTCTGACCCCTCCCCCATAGGCAGCACAGCAGCACTGCAAAGAGGGTTGCCCTGCCCCAGTGAATACCAAAGGCCCCACCCACCCCCTTACAACCTAACAGGTGGGCCAAGTCAAAGAAATATGGCCCAAATGAATGAACAGAGCAAAACTCCAGAAAGAGAGCTTAGCAACGAGGAGATCACCAACCTATCTGATGGAGAGTTTAAAGGCCTGGTAATCAAAATGCTCCCAGAACTGATTGAGCTTGGTTGAAAAATGAAATAACAAATGAAAGATACCCAAAATGAAATAAAGCAAAATATTCAGGGAACCAACAGTGACAGGAAGAAAACCAGGACTCAAAGCAATGATTTGGAACAAAAGGGAGAAATAAACATCAAACCAGAACAGAGTAAAGAAACAAGAATTTTTTATAAAATGAAGAGAGGCTTAGGAACCTCTGGGACAACTTTAAACTTCCAATATCCAAATTATAGGGGTGCAAGAAGAACAAGAGCAAGAAACTGAAAACTTACTTGAACAAATAATGAAGAACTTCCCCAATCTGGCAAAGGAAATAGACTTCCAAGAAGTCCAGGAAGCCCAGAGAGTCCCAAAGAAGTTGGGCCCAAAGAGGAACACACCAAGGCACATCATCGTTAAGTTACCCAAGATTAAAAATAGAGAATCTTAAAAGCAGTAAGAGGAAAGGAGACAGTCACCTACAAAGGAGTTCCCATCAGACTGTCAGCTGATTTCTCAAAAGAAACCTTACAGGCAAGAAGGGGCTAGAAAGAAGTATTTGAAGTCATGAAAGGCAAGGACCTACATCCAAGATTGCTCTATCCAGCAAAGCTTTCATTTAGAATGGAAGGGCAGATAAGTGCTTCCCAGATAAGGTCAAGTTGAAGGAGTTTATCATCACTAAGCCCTTATTATATGAAATGTTAAAGGGACTTATCTAAGAAATTGAAGATCGAAAACTATAAACAGTAAAATGACAACAAGCTCACAACTATCAACAACTGAACCTCAAAAAAAAAAAAGAAAAACAATGAAAACAAAAACTAAGCAAACAACTAGAACAGGAACAGAATCAGAGAAATGGACATCACATAGAGGGTTTTCAGTAGGGAGGTACAGGGAGTAAGAAGCATAATTAGTAGGCATAAAATAGATGGAGAGAGGTTAAGAATGGTGTAAGAAACAGAACTCTAAGAACTTATATGTACAACCCATGGACATGAACTAAGTTGGGGGAAATGCTAGAGGGCTGGGGGGTGGAGGGTGGGATAAAGGGGGAAAACTGTAATAGCATAATCAATACAATATACTTTTAAAAAAGATTCATTGTATTCCAATTAACTGACAGGGGAAAAAAACCCAGATATTTGTTAAGTATCTAATGCCTGCTGTTTCCCACCTCTGCTCAGAGATCAATAACTCAATTCAAACTATGTAATCTTAGGAAAAGGAAGGGGATAAAAAATGGATGTTTTCCCAAAACAGATATATTCATTAAGAGCAAAGTTTTCAACTCTGGCTACTAATTAAAATCAACCAAGAAAAAAAAAGAAAGAAAAGGGCTTCTCTGTTAGCCCTATTCATGTGCCTCCTCAGCCACCTAGAAACTTCTTCAGTGCACCCTTAAATTCTTTGTTCCTCAGGCTGTAGATGAGAGCGGAGTATGCATCTGACTATAAGAACAGGATAAGGATAAGGAACTTGTTCTGATTAAGAAAATACTGTTCTTAGGCCAGATTTAATCAGATGTGACTGTGTGAAAGAGTAGTCCACCACCACCGGGAAATTTCTGGTTCCAAATCCTTTCCTTCTCTCTGCCCTTAGCTGTACAGTTCCTTGGCTAGCTATGGCAGTGTGGCCACAGGTGACTAGGGTCAAGTCCAAAGAGACCAGGAAGATTACTGTGGTCACTAAGACCTTGAACTTTTTTAAACAGGCCAGGTTATGCTGCAAAAACACACAACACCAACATTTCTGTGCTTATACACCAAGTTCACTCATTCCTACAAAGCCCATTGTAGGTCTTGGAACTCTCCAAAACAGCTGTCCTGCCAAGTGGGGGGACACAGCATTCCAGACTGGTTTGATTTCATGGTTCCTCTCTCTGTATGTGCTTCCATGACTGAGGCTGGGAGAGAGCACTACAGAGTCTTGCACCAACAGATAAATGCTTCACACCAGAGTCTTACAACTCATTGACCAAAACGACCTGATGACCCTAACTGCAAAGAGCAGAACATAATCATTCTCATTTTTACTGTTCACCAGAATAAAAGCTGCACAAGGGTATGCATTTGTTGTTTTCTCGTTTACTACTATATCCTTGGTCTAGAATACCAGTGCCTGGGTCCTCCTCAAATTGAATGAATAGCGATAAGGAACTTGGTCTAAGTACTGTTCTTAGGCTAGAAAAACATAATAGGGCCTCATCAAACCAAATGAATGAAGAGTCCCAGGAAAAAAATCCACATGCATCTTGGGAGAAGAGAGAGAGTCCTAGGAGTCTAAGGCTGAGGCTTTCAGGTAAGAGCAATGCAGACTACAGAGATTCATAGCTGCCACTGATCTCACCACCAGGTGATACCCTCAGCATAACCCTCATCGCCAGGGCTCAGCTCCTGAAAGGAGCTGCAAGAGCCACAAATGCATCTGCTCCTTAAATGTAGTCAGTCTGCCCAACCTATGTGGGAAGCAGGGAAAAGTGAAAGAAGTGCACATTGAGTATTTACTCCATCTACTATTGGTTTTCTTTCTTCAATCCCTGTAATCTCCATATCAACTGAGGTGACTGTTTTCTCTCTTTCACAGAAATTGGAGACTTGAGTGTTTCAATAACCAATCAAAAACAGGAATGTTTCACAAGCTAGAAATAGATATGGTACAGTCTAACTCCCAAACATGACTCTTTCCTTATTCTTAAAAACATACAAAAGCCAGCCCTGGCAGGTGGGTCAGTTGGATGGACAGTCAAAAGGTCACAGGTTCAATTCCCAGTCAGAGCACATACCTAGGTTGTAGGTTTGATCCCCAGTTGGGGTGCATAAAGGAAACAACCCATTAATGTTTCTCTCTCACTCCTCCTCCCCTTTCCTCTATCTCTAAAATCGATAAATATATCCTTGGGTAAGAATTTTTTTAAAGCCAAATTAATAAGGAAACAACAAAACCCTGAGAAGTTGATCCTGAACTCCAATTAATTTTCTTTTGGGCCTTGGGAAAATGCCTTTATGACTGTTTTATCCTATTGACTTTGTGAGGGAAGGAAACAGTTTATTGTGTTATTGCAGAAAATTCTTCTTTACATCTAATACATATTCCATGGCTAAAAATTCCAACCTATTTCCATAGATCTCATTAGAAATGTTTTCCTTTTTCAAACACCACCAATGAGAGGTATAAGATATTATCAGTTATCTGGTAGATTCCCTACTGGTGGAAGTAAATGTGATTTCATTACAAAAAAAATTGTGCTAATGGGATTCAAAAGCTAAGTAGCTAAAAAGTTCAAGAAACTCATGTGGTGTCCAATGACAGGAGAGAGGAAGAAAATCCAATTTCGTTCTTAGAAAACTTTACATTACACTTCATCTGTATCCTATAATATTATTGAAATTGATAATACTACTACCCTAAAGTCATGGTATGCAGTAACACAAGGACGTTATTGATTTTGTTTCAAAAAACCATGCTATGGATGTTTTTCCTCATTCAGAATGTTCTTTAAACACCTTCTTGCTAAGAAACTCCCTGAAGGTTTAAGTAAAAACAGTAAATAATATGACTACTAACACATTCCCTGCAGAGTCCACCTTGATTCCTCTCTGTGAAACATTTATATACCCAAATTTTCCACTGATGAAAAATTTTCATGCTTCATAAATTTGCATTTTTCATAAAATACAAGTTTAGGGTCAAGCTCCACTCAGTAAAATTCTTCAGACTAAGGACACTGGACAATGTACTTTCTGGTGTAAGGTTTGAATGCACACTGAAGATTCTTGTGCATAGGCTACAAGTGGGTTCTCCGGTGTTTAATAAGGTGAGAGTTCTGACTGAATTTTTTTCCACATTCATAACATGTAAAGGGCTTCTCTCCAGTGTGAGTTCTTTGGTGTGTGTGGAGATTTGAAGTTTGACCAAAGCTCTTCCCACACCATGAACATTTATATGGTTTTAATCCTTGATGTGATGTGAAGTGCTTATTAAGATCTGAACTCCATCTAAACCTCTTATCACACTGTGTGCATTTATACGGTTTCTCTTCAGTGTGAATTCTTTGGTGCTTAATAAGGTCAGAGCTAACTCTGAAGCTTTTCCCACATTCCTGGCATTTAAAAGACTTCTCTGCTGCACGCTCTTTCTTGTGACGATCCATAAGTGTCAGCAGCTCTTGTCTCCAGGCCGAAAGTTTCTCTCTTTCCTTCACTGAAAAATCTTGGTGCCATTTCCCCACCCTGTGCATTTCACCATGATTTTCTTTGATTGGTGTTTCCTGGAGAACTTTTACTCTGTTCATTTTTGAAATGATGTCTCCTGGTGTTTGCATTTCTAAATCAGGAAGGCACATAGATTGATGATTCTCAGCATCATTTTTGAGCTTTAATCCTGTTGAAATAATCATAAAAATCAACCAACTATAAGGCAGAGCAAGAAAATCTCAGGAACAGAGATAAAAATTCAATGATCACTTGATTTTAAAATATAGATAAATAGAATCTTTAAGTTCTTGCAAAGGTTCCTATGAAGGCACACATGTACTTACCTACAGGCAGCTCTCCAGGACTGTCCACGAACTCGGTGGATCCCTGAACCCAGGACTCTTTTCCTTGCTCTAGAAAGATCACTTTAGGTTTGAGGTGTACAAACATGGCTGTGAAATGAAAAAACTGAGGTCAAGACTGCTAACTTAACGATGTCCACTAATTATAGACTATTTCAGGAACAGCAAGACACGCTTTTACAGTTTGTTACCTCAAATGGTTAAATGGATAGACTCACACATCAGGTATTAGCTTTACACTATACTGCATTTGTAAGTGAACATGCAAAGTGTAGATTAAGAAATAAACCTAGCTTGCATTGACTGGGAGGGTCAGGTGGTTGAGTATTTCCTGTGCACCAGGGGGTTATGAATTTAATCACCAGTCAGGGCATATGCCTGGATTGTGGATTTGATTTGCAGTCAGGGTGCATGCAAGAGGTGACCAATTGATGTTTCTCTCTCTCTTTCTCCCTTTCTCTTTCTCTAAAAATCAATAAACATACACTTGGGTGAAGAAAAATAAGAAATAAACCTAGCTTGATCAATGAAAAGGTCATAGGGTATAGGAATCTCATGCATATTCCCCATTTCCTGACACCAATAACTCCACACCTGACCCCGCTTGAATAGAACTCCAGAGATTTCAGGGAATACAGGCTGGTCCTATTAACTCTTTAGGGCTCACCCTGAATAAGACCTGGTTAGTAGCACCAATGTGAAGGTCAGTGGGTAGGAAATCATATGAATAAGTGACTCCTGTCATAATTATACTAACTTTTTATTTAGCAGCTGAGCACACCAGACACTAGACTAGTATTCGTACCACTTCTATAGCTCATTGCTTCACATCCTGTTGGATGAAACAGACCAGAATCACTTAGTGGACTTTTTGTAACTACGAATCAGCAAATATAGGAAGTATTCATCATCCAGTCTTCCAACATGTGAAGTGAGTGCCTATGGTATGCTGGACACTCTTTAAACTAGGGATATAGTGATACATAGCTGCATCTCAGAGAACTTATCTCCTAGTGGGACAGTGAGACAATCAAACATCAATAATCCAATGAAATGTCGAGAAGAAGCTAAAGCAGGGTAAGAGAGCATTTAAGATTCTGCTTCTCTGAAGCTATTTGAGATAAGGCTGTGTGGAAGGCCTCTTTGAGAATGTGATATTTGAGCAGACCTAAAGATGAGAGTTTTTCCATGTGGCAGAAAAAGTGTGCCAGGTAGAGGAAAGAAAGCACAAAATAGAAATTAGCATGGCAACTTCCAACAACAGCAATAAGACTGCTATGGCTAAAGAGAACTGAGGCACTAGTGTCAGGAGTTGAAGGCAAAGAGGTAATAGAGGCCAGATCTAGAGGGTTTTAGAAACCTCGGTAAAGAGGGCTGATTTTATTCTGAATGGATGAGAAGTCATCATAAGGTTTTGAAACAGGGAAATGTTATGATCTGGGCAGGTTTTAAAAGACTCTGGCTGCTGTGTAGAAAATAAACTATGGGAAGGCAAGACTGATGGCAGGAAGGGCCAGTTAGAAGGCTACTGAAGTATAACTGGTTAGAGATGGCTTAGGTTTGGATATTAATGGCACAAAAGGATGAGACGTGGCTGAACTCAGACTATACTGTGAGTGTAGAATCCAAAGGACTAGTGATGCATTAGTAGTGGGATATGACAGCACTAACAGAGTAAACAATATTTGTCTTGCTGAGCAACTGGGTGAACTGAGGTGCCCTTTACTGAGTAGAGAAAGATATGAGAAGAGCAGGTTTGTGGGGGAAGAGGGAGAAGAGATCAAGAATTCTGTGCAGCATAAGGAATGTGTACTTGCAAAAAGCTCCCAAGAGATCTGCATTCACCTTTCCCCTACCCACACCATCAAGTTGTGAACCAATAAGCTACTGAAACAGACTCTCTCCCAGCAGTGCATTCCCAGTAAGTAAAACAAGACAAACTACTCAACTTCTACACAAAGGGAAGGGGAGAACCTTTACCTAGAAAGATGAGTGTCTCATAGTTTTCCTGCATTACATCACTGTAGAGAGCCTTCTGATTGGGATCCAGTAACTCCCATTCTTCCTGGGAAAAATACACAGCCACTTCTTCAAATGTCAACAAGCTCTAAGGAAGAGAATGGGCTTTAGTTTAGTACTGGCCACTCCAGAAGCAGCCCTCACACCCAGCCCATGAACAGCATGATAGGCCAAAGAAATTAACAGCACACTAAAAAATTTATTTTAATATTTTGACTTTAGAAAGAGAGAGGAAGGGAGAAAGAGAGAAACACTGATTTGTTGCTCCACCTAGTTATGCACTCACTGGTTGCATCTCGTATGTGTCCTGACCAGGGATGAAACCCACAACCTTGGTATACTGGGATGACACTCTAACCAACTGAACTACTTTGGCCAAAGCCCAGCATCTGTTTTGTTTTGTTTTTTGTTTGTTTTAATTGAGAAGGCAGAAAGGAAGGAGGCAAGGAATCAGCAAACAGCCTGGGAGGTGTCCACTTCCCCGGGGAGAACATTTGGGCTAATATGCCTCTGAGCACCTGCTGGGCAGTGTGGGTCACGGGCAGCAGGGAAAGGCAGCCCTAAACAGCTGGAAAGCACAGCTCACCTGAGATTCAGGCAAGAAGAGCTCAGGTGCCACTGTCCAATCTTTGGTGTTTGTCTGCTCAGGAAAGTCTTGGGTCTGGTGAACAGGCACTGCTATGGGTAGAAAAGAGCCATAAGAAATTTCTTGCACTTTTGCTCTGGCCAGGTAGTTCAGTTGTTTAAAAGCATCATCCTGATATGCCAAAATTGTGGGTTTGGTTTCTGGTCAGGGCACATACAAGAATCAACCAATGAGGCATAAATAACTGGAAAAACATCTCAATGTCTCTCTCTCTCTCTCTCTCTGAAAATCAATGAATAAAAATTTAAAAGAAAAAATAAATTTCCTCCACTTCTATGCACATCCTGAGCTCCCTTCTGAAATATAGAAGATCTTGACTCTTCCAGTAAATGGGAAACATTTACAAGCATGTGTGGTGTCCATAAATGGCCTTATCATTGTTAATGAGAACTCAGTATCTGTCAAGCCCCAGAACAGGTTCCCTAGTTTTCAAAAGAAAAATTAATAAAACAAAACCCCTTATTTTCCTCTCATAAGACAAATAGTTCTGAGTTAAAGAAAAATGCAATAGATTTGAAAATGAAACATTCACAACTCCAGTGCAGAGCAGACGTATTGTTTATCATTTATTATTTTTCTGATACATGACTTGAGAGAGAGAGGAAGGGAGAAGGGGAGAGAGAGGAACATCGACTTGTTCCACCTCTTTATATATTCATTGGTTGCTTTTTGTATGTGCCCTGACCTGGGACTGAACCCACAACTTTGGCATATCGGACAGCACTCTAACAAACTGAGCTACCCAGCCAGGGCTCCTTGCCACTTTTCTAAGGAACAGTGTTCATGGTGTTATTTCCAGGGTTCTCTGGTTTGGGTATTTCTGTAGCTTACGCCAACCCCCACCTTCACCCACATCTTGTCTATTCTAAGGCCATCTATCTGTATGGCAGGGAAGGGGGAGAAGAAGAGGATCATAATTGCTACCACAGCTGTACTTGCATATGCACAGAGCTAGGTGCCCAAAAAATGCTCACAATGTTCTGGCCGAACAAATTACTATCACAGTTCCCAACAGAAACTATCATGCAGCTCCTTACCCCTCTCACACACAGGCTCAGTTTCTTTATGAGTACTCCTGCTCAGCTGTTGTAGATCCTGATATGCACTCCAAATTTCTTCATCCTGGGACCTGCCTGCTGGCTGGGCCTCTGCTGGCTTCAGTTTGAAGCCTGAGGTCTCTGCTGTTTCTCCCAAGAGCACTGCCTCCTTTCCCAGCACATGGACTGCAACCTAGAAATAATTCCCATCCTTGTTACCAGACTTACTTTAGGCTTGGGGGCTTGTGGTAGAGGGAGGAAACACACAGAGTCCAGATTATGGGAAGGGTGAGACACTAAAGGAAGTGACAAAGAGACTTGAAAAAATGGGCCACCAATTTTCCACAAAATCTGGAAAATTTAGGATAAAAGGAAAAAAGATGTGGCTATTGCCAGCCCTTCAACACAGTAGGCCCCGCCCCTCTGCACAGAGCCCAGCTCAGACCACTAGCAGGGTGGTGCAGACTGCCTGTTCGAATCCTGTCTTGAAAGCCTTTCTCTGTTCACTTGGATCCCTGCTGCAGTGATTTCTTGTCTTATACTTTTTTAAAAAGATTAAAATTTTTGATTCTCCTATCAACTATATTTTCTTCATTACCAGGGAAGGCTTTTACTGAGAATGTAGATAAAATGAAGAAAGGGGGAGGACATATTCTGGCTCCAACCTCCCTCCAGATGATTTTGACACTTAACATGTGTCTGGCCCTGAGTTCTACACAGGAGGCTGAAAGCCAGTTGAAGCGCTGCCACCTGCCCAAAGGCGTATAAAGGATTCCCACTCACTAGCAGCGCCAAGGATTATCGAGGGAAGGTGTCAGAGGGCAGTGGAGGCTCTTGACCATGGTATGGAGGACACTATCCTTCAGCCATTCTGTTGGCATTTCCACATCTTTGTTTCTCTTTTTCCTTTCTCATTATCTTCTCTCCCCTTTGTCTCTAAGTGTACTCCATTTTTTGTTCTCCCCCTTACTCTCTAACCCCTTGTTGCCCTTTATTTGTTTCTAATGACTTAAGACCCATCCTGTAGGTCAAACCAGACTAAGCTTATTACCCTCAATACACACTGCCCTAAAAAGGGAAAAAAGCAACTCTTTCTCTAAGACCATGGAAGTCTCTGTCAGGGTCTATGGAATCTGTGGAATGACTATTGCTGTATGTCTGTGGTTTCTTGTCCTACCTTAAATGGCCTAAAGAAACAATAATAGATCACTGACCTAACTCATCTTATTTTTAAATTAAGTGCCCCCATATCCCATATATCCACCTTCATCCTATTTCATTGTTACACATCAGGAATTTTTCTTCTCACCCCATTTCTCATTTAGCAAATTTACGCTGTGAGTGGGCTACCAAGGCCACAGCCTCCTCAATGCTCTGTGGGTGGTTCTGCTTTATCTGGGGTTTGACATCCCTGGGCAGAATGGTCAGGAACTGCTCTAGTACCAGTGCAGTTTCCAAGATTTGCTCTTTTGAGTAGAACTCTGGCCTCAGTACAATTCTTGAAGTTGGCCAAGGCTCTCACAGGGTCCACCTGCTTTGTGATAGTGGAAGCTCTGAAAGTGCTGGCAAGAGCTCTCCAGTTGAGGCCAACCACGTGTGCACTGTATTTCTTACCCTGAGTGGAACTCTCTGTCACAGGTCCCTTAGTCTCCCACAGAGCCCTGACCTAAGAATTCTAATACTCTGCCACCTTCGGACCTACCGTCATCATACTGCTCTGGAACAGTCTGCTCCTGTGTTGGACATACCACCAGCACCACCTTTGAGAACTGAGGCCCAGTCTTGTCTGGAACAAAAAGAATCTTCTTCCTAAGTCTCTGAGGACAGAAAAAAACGTGCAGCTCGATAAGAAAGTCCCAAGAACTGTACTACTCACTACTTATTATAAGAAAATGAAGAAAAGACATACTGTCTTGCCTTTCCTTGAACAATCAGCTGCCAGGCTGTCTCTCCTTTGTTTCAACTGAACTACAGCACAGTTCACTGAAGACAACTGCCAACTGATGACGACTCTGCGTTGAAAAAAATCACGAAATGTTGGTGGGAGAACCCTGGCTGGGTGGCTCAGTTCGAGTGTCCTCCCGATACACCAAGGTGGTGGGTCTGATATCTGGTTAAGGCACACACAAAAACCAACCAATGATGCATAAATGAGTAGGACAAATTAATGCTTCTCTCAACCTCTCTCCCTTCCTCGCTCTTAAAAAAAAAAAAAAAAAAAAGAAAAGGCTTGTTGAAAGGTGAGAAAACTGGCACCCACTGGCTCCAAAGTTTGGGGATTTTCCAAAGAATTCACTGATGTATGTCCTATCTCAGTTTCCCCATGTCAAAAGAAAATTAGAACACTCTGAGTTTTTCTTACATTTTAACTATCATCCTAGTCTTCTGTTTTTAGTAAGGGTACAACTTCTATGACCCTTCACCCTCTCCTGATAATGGAAGCCTTCACTTCCTGGACATTTGAGACTCTCCTTTTCGTGTATCAGTATGAGCGCTGAAACAATACAGTAGAAGGAAAGTAATTAGGGAAAAAGTAGACTTTTCTTCTCAGAAAGCATCCTTCAATTAAGTAGCTAGATGTTCAACATTCTTCTTTGACATGTCTTTGCAATACCTGTGAAGGGCACTACACAGATTTATAACTGTATTTAAATTTTTATGTTTTCTTGAACTAGGAAAAATTACAGCTGACTTTTCTTTACAAAATGTTTATCCAAATATCAAATGGAGAGAGAGAGAGAGAGAGAGAGAGAGAGAGAGAGAGAGAGAGAGAGAGAAAGAATGGGAGCTGGTGACGATTAAGCTGACGCTTCTTCTGACTTTACGTTTCAAGAATCTTTTAGACTTTTACTAAGGGAGGCTAAGGAGAGCGTCATGAGCCTCATTTGGCCATGGTACTCACAAACGGCCGGCTCCTTGCTGCCCACTGAGGTTCAGGAGGCCCGGACATACATCCTACACCTTTGTTATCACTCTGAGGAGAACATGTGATCACTCTAACGCTTAACCGCGGTTCCCTGGCAGTTAACATCGCCCCGAGAAACAAACAAACACGCTAGCGGAGGCCGTAACGCGAACATTTCTTACGGGGAACTGCGAGCCCAGGAGCTATCTGCACCAAGAACAGAAATACTAGCCTTCGGAGATGGAGGTCCAGCCTCGTCCCAGACGGTCTGGCCGCAGGCTCCGGTCCGTCGGCCACGAGAAATGGCCAGCTCGCTTACAGCAACAACCAGCAGCTCAACCGGGATCCGCAGCATTCACCGACCAAGAAGCGACTCCTGTTTACCTCGGACTGCTCAGTTTCTAATAGGCCACACCCTCTTCCTACGTCTCAACTGGAACTCTCGGCGGCCGACGCTCTGGTATCCTAGAACGCCGCCCGCCTAGCCTATGAGCAAACGGTCAGGGCGCAGGTCTACAAGGCGCTCTCGCCGCAGCTGGCCGTCACTGCGTCTGTCCGGTGCTGCGCTAATACTGGAAGCGAAAGTGAGCGCTTCCGGCCAGGATGCGTCGGAGGGAACCGGCCTCCTGCCGCAGTTCCGCCTGGCAGCCTAAGAGTTAATGCCATCGAGTTCCAATCCGCACGCCTAGATTGTCCTCTAAGTGGCTTGGCAGTGGGTGTCACCCTCTCGCGGTCTTCCTATGTGAGCCGTAAAGCAACAGAGTCGTTTAGGTGGAGTGCTCTGAAGGAATGAACTAGGACCTGATAGAGAATGACCTAGGGAGACAGGCGGTAGGGCAAGGACATTTCTAAGGGAGATTTGTGCTGAGATGTAAGAGAGAAGGAGCTGGCTGGGCCTGCAGCGGAGAGGAAAGCACTGCAGCCCTAGGCACAGCACACTATAAGAGCCTCAGGTCGGGAGGACTTTGATGTTTGATAAAGAAGGGAGGGTTTGCTGTTACAGCTTCAGAATCAAGGAGAAAAATGGTATAAGAGCAAGTGAGAGGAAGGCAGGGGCCATGTCATGCAGGGCTTTTCAGGCTGTGAAGAGGAGTTTGGATTTTATTCTGTGTGCAGTGGGAAGCCACTGAAGAGTGGTAATAGGAATGGACACGATCTTACATTTTTAAAACATCTACTGGATTCCATAGAGGGAGAATGGATTAGAGGGTCCAGCAGGTGGGGCAAGACTTCAAGTTAGTTAATAACACATAAATAGGGTGGAGATCCTTTGTGCTCTATTACTTCAGAATCAGTTGTATTAATGTGAACATGTTTATCCTGACATTCTGCATAGGAGTTCTTCATGTACTTAAGACATTAAGTTCTTCATGTACTTAAGAAGTACTGTTGCCCCATCACATCCAGCTTAATCGCGTTCAGAATATATTTCTATTATTTTTATCTTTCTTATGAAACTTTTGTTTTCACTTTTCTCAATTTTTTAAGAAAAACCTTAATTAAAAATTATCTTAATTTAGGTGAAATTCACATAACATAAAGTTCACCATGTTCAAGTGAACAATTAAGTGGCATTAAGGACTATCGCATCGTTCTGAAACACTGTTATACCACCAAAGTAAATCCTGTACCCATTAAACAGTTGCTCCTTGTTCTCTATGGATTTGCTTATTCTGGACATTTCATAGAATTGGAATCTTAAAATATTGGGTTGGCCAAAAAGTTCATTTGGTTTTTTCCATATGATGGCTCTACTAGTGCTACTTGTCTTTAACTTAATTTGAAACAATGCTGTTAGATTGTATTGTGACAGCTGTCCTACCAGCATGCATTTTTTTAAAAAGTATTAAAATTGACAAATTTTTGTGTAGCCATTTTCATATTGAAAGTGGAAGAAAATACTCGACATTTTCAGCATATTAATTATGCTTTATCTCACAATGGAAATGCAAAAAAAGATTTGTGCAGTTGTATGGAGAAGGTGCCGTGACCGATCATATATGTCAAAAGTGGTTTGTGAAGTTTTGTGCTGGAGATTTCTCACTGGACAATGTTCCACGGTCAGTAGACCAGCTGAAGTTGATAACAAATTGAGACATTAATTGAGAACAGTCAACAGGGAGATAATTGACATTTCAAAATATTTAAATCAATAGTTATTGGTGAAAATGAAAAATGTAACTTTTATTTTACAGAAAAAATTACATAGAATTATTGCTAACCCAGTATGTGTTTGTGTCTGGCCTCTTTCATTTAGATGCCTGTGAGACACAAGCAAAGAGGGTAGAAAACCAAGAGTCACACAAAAGAGCTAGACTTGGCAGATGAAAAAGTAGCAGGTACACTATGGGTTTCTTAGGAAACCAGGGCTTTCTAGTCTGTTCTCAGTGAGCCTTAGTTTTATGAGAAAGCTCAGGTATACAAGCAAAGCAGCCAGCTATCAAGGAAAGTAGCTAAGCTGTTCTGTGAGTGAGGCTTACAGCGGACCCTGTATCAATGTCAAATGTAGTTCAGAAGCCTCTAGGACAGTTGCTGTCGAGGAAAGCGAGGCTGCATCCCAGAGACCTGTGCCTTTCAAGAGAAGATGGCCTTGTAAGTCTCCTCCAGTTCCAAAAGATTAGCAGACAAGCCTACTAAGGTAAAGGGACAAGCCAAAGCACATGAAAGTGAAATGAGGAGTATGAGGACAGTGGAGGACTCAGCTAGAAATTAGACAGCAAGTAGCCAGTCCTGGAAATTGGGAGCCCTGGCACTTACAACCTGCTCCAGAGTTCATTTAGTTGAGGACCTTTCTTAACATGTGGCCTGGTACTGATTACCTATTCGCAAATTTCTCTCCCAAACTGGGTCTTGTCTTCCAGCTACAAATTAAAGATGGCCCCCGTTCTCTCATTGTTGCAGGTACGTTAGAATAAAAGCTATAGCAGATACCCAGTGTAAAGTCATTCATTTGGCTAGGTACTTGTTCCATGTAGGGGAGAATAGTACCTAAACTCATATGTTGTCTGTAATCCAGGGGATTTTGTTTTGAGTTGTGAAACTGGAAGGCCAAAACCAGGTATGTTACTGTCATATCCAGATTTTATCAACAGAACATGAAAGAATGAAGGTGCTGTTGGCCAGGGGAGTGAGCTGTATTCTTTGAAGAAGGTGGGTAATGTCCTAGTAGGTGCTACTGTGTGAGTTCAAAAGGTTGACATTAGTCTGGGAATTAGGTTTCATTGTAATTGCAGGGTAATGAAGCAGAATAAGAGTGATCAAGAGTGTGGGGGCAGACTTCCAGTCAAGACAGAGGCATAAGTAAACAGGCTTCACCTCCTCATGTAACCACAGAAAGAATTACAACTTGACCTCAAAACAGATGCCCAGAACCATCAGAAAATCAAGCTGTATGGAAGTCCAACAACCAAGTATTTAAAGAAGCCACATGCATCCAGATGGGTAGAAAGAGTGGAGAAGCAGAGATGGGCAGAGGGGTGAGGAGACATGCAGAGACACTGTGTGGCATGGAGAGATCATGCAGCCCAGGATTCCAGCACCAGGAAGATAAATCCCCATAAATTCTGGCTATAAAAACCAGTGGGAGTTGGGGTGGAGGAAGAAACTGCCAGATTTTTAGGAGTCTCTGCTTAATAGGCCTGCATGGACTTAAAACATACACAGACCCACCTCCCCTCTGGGATTCAGCACCAGGGCAACAGCTGGGAGGGTACCAGTCACTCAGTGCCAGAGTTGAGCAAACCTCCAGAAGCCAGGCAGTGGCACTGTCCCCTCTCCAAGCCCTCTCCCCACACAGAGCCACAGAGTGGTGAAGCAGATTGTCCCACCCTGGTGATTACCTAAGGCTCCGCCCCACACAATTTACAGGTGCCTCTTCTACAATAGGCTACACTACTAAGCCAAGGAGTCAAAACAGCTCTACTTGATACACAGAAACAAACAGGGAGGCTGCCAATTTGAGGACACAAAGACATACGGCCCAAATGAAAGAACAGAGGGAAAAAAAACAAAAAAAAACTAAATTAAACAGAGATAACAACCCTATCACATGCAGAGTTTAGGATGCTCGAAGAACTCACTGTGTTCTCAATGGGCAACAAAATAAAAAAAGACCCAGGAAAAAATGAAGGTAACACTAAGTGAAATATAGAAAAATCTTCAGGGAACCAACAGTGGAGGGGATGAAGCCAGAATTCAAATCAATGATTTGGAACATAAGGAAGAAATCAGCATTTGACCAGAACAGCAAGAAAAAAAAGAAATTAAGAAAACAAGGATAGTATAAGGTGCCTCTGGAACATCTCCAAATGTACCAACATCCAAATCATA